CCTTGGGTCTAGACAGCAAAGGGAGACAACTAACTTCGCAAATGCTCAGTACCTCCTGTGTGCCAGGCACTGAACCGGGCATCAACAAGAGAGGCGAAGTCTCATCCCTCTTGAACCTCAGAATCTGTGAGAGTGCCAGCAAGGAAGGGTGAATCGGTGAACAAATAACGAAAGGCCAGAAATCATGACCAGAGCTAGGTGTGGGGGCAGAGTCTGCAGTCCCAGCGCTTGGCTGATAGAGGCAGAAGGACCAGGAATTTCAAGTCTTCTTCAGTTCTATAGCAAGTTGGGGGCCAGCCTGGCCTACAATAAGATCATGTTTAATAAAACTAAACCAGAGATCCTTTGGGGAGATCAAGGACAGCCTCCCTAAGATTACATGTGCAGTAGAACTGAGGGGTGAGGGGAAGCTGGGGAAAAGGGACTTGTGGCACTGGGGTTAGGTGATCATTGACTGACTCACTGGAGTTTTGTGGGGAAACCTGCATCACTATACCTTACTATCCAGGTACCCTGAGGACAGGAGCTGGGTGGATGGCTCTTGCCTTGGTCTTGCCCAGTACAGGGCCCAGCACTAAGTGACTTTGGGTCATTGATGATCCAGCATGGGCAGCTTTAAATCCTAGATGGTTAAAACTGCTATCATAAGGAACCCCCATGGTGCTTACAGATAGGCCCCAAGGAGGGCCTGACTTGCTCAAGGACCTACCTCCTCTGGGAGGCTGACCTGAACTGGCTGGGTCTTAGTGAGGGACTGGAGCCCACCCCAGCCACGGGGTGGGGGGGGCAGGCTGAGTTTAGCTTCCCCCAGGCCTTTGTTCAGACTTCAACAGAAAGCCCTCCCCAGAAAGGTGCCTCTACCAGGGAGGGAAGAGCAGAAAGGAAGCCAGGGGGAGCTCAGGGAACTTCCCCTTCCCTCTCCAGACACCTTCAGGCCTTGTTCCAGTTCTCTTGCCTCATGCATCCAGCCATTTGCTTGAACCTCCCTCAGGCCTGGGAAGAGGCTGCAGTCTATGGGCTCTCCCCAACTGCTACCTGCCCCTTTGCCCCAAGTCTGGGAGGCAGCATTGGCCATAGGGTCTGTTGAACTGGAATATGGGGGGGGGGTAGCCTAACACCATGACCAGGAAAATTCACTGCCACCCCCCCATGATGTCAGCAGGGAGCAGAGCAGGACACCCTCCTCTACTCCTGGAAATCCCCTCTCCAGAACCCGAACCCTCAGAGCCCTCTCAGCTGCTCCTGGCCTGTCACATGCTGAAGAACTGGAATGAGAGGAAGCATTGTGTAGTGTTTGGCTTAAGCATGGTGGGGTGGGGGAGAGTGGGTCCGCAGCCCCCAGGGCCACATCCAGCTGCTTGGCTAAATGCAGGAAGGAAGGAGGTGAAAGCAGCTGCTTCGGGCAGGAGGAATGAAATCCTCCACCTCGCCCAGTGTTCCAGCCCACTCTGTCCTTGTGCTCCCCTATCCTCCCGGCTGGTTCTGCAAAGCACTGCGGCTCCAGTCCTAGCTACGTGCACAGCTGCTGCTATGGGGACAGCTTGGCCTGCATGGGTGCTGAACCTGAATCTTGTGGCAGGGTATGCTACCTCCTCCTGTCTGCTTAGGGTGTTCTCTCCTGCAAGCCTATAGCCCCCATTCTGCAAGTGGGGGTGGAGTCACAAGGTACCCAAGGCAAATCATGTGGTTCCTGGGTTCTTGACCCACCTGCCTTATGTGGCAGCCAGGAGCTAAAGCTCTTCCCTGATCCTGCAGCCGGTCTTGTCTTTGAAACAAAAAGCACAAATGTGCCATTGCCGCTACCCCCATCAGTACCACCACTACCACCACCACACACAAGAGCCACACTGTTGCTTCTGAACATAGTAAGCAGGCCTCACTAGCTCCATCTTCGCCAGACTCAGCATCACACAGGGCACACCTACTATGTGCTGAACTTGGGTTGCCAAGGGTGACATACACAGTTCCTACTCTTGTGGATATTTTTGTGGTTGGTGAAGCAAATACCTAAATAATTTGATGTCTTAGAGTAAGTCCTGGGGTGGGGTGCTGGAAAGCCCTCAGGCATGCTCAGTATGTCACAGGGCAGCATCTGGGGAAGTACGGAAAGTTGGGCCAGAGAGAAGGATAAGGAAGAGCTGAGGGTCAAGCAAGGCTTTTCATGTCTTCCAGGCAAGGAGAGCGGCCAGCAGATGTGAAGTTTGGAGGTGTACACTAGAGAGGGTCAAGTCATTTTGTGTAGTGAGAGCTCTGAGAATGAGGCCATAGCTGGAGAGAGGGCTCCAGTGACAGGCAGGGGCCTCTGGTGGCCAAGGCACCATCCATTCCAAATACCGTCCCAGGCCCCTGCCTACCTGTTCACACTCAATTCATGCCAACACTTACTTTGCGAGTGTTCTCTGCTCTGCTCCCACACACCGCCCGTCTCCATTACGTACCTTAGTTTCCTCATCTGTGAATAGATAGAGTTGAGGCAGTAGATCTGTAAGGTCTCTTCCATCTTTCTCGCCTCTTTCCTTTTGACGTGTTCATTTATTTATATATTTATTGTGTGTGCATGCCACAGCATGTGTGTGGAGGGCAGAGACAACTAATGGGAGTTGGTATCCTTCTCCCAAGTGGCTCATGGGAACTGTAACTCAGTTGGTAAAGCATGTCAGCTGTTGCTTTTACCTGCCAGCCAGCCAGTCCTCTCCTAGCTTGGTACAGATTCTGTTCTCTATGCAGAGTGGTGAGCCTGCATACTGCTTGGTATACAGACAATGTTGTTTTCTGTAGAGGAGTAAAATGCCAGCTCTTCAGGGACGGCACTGTTGTTAACCTCAGGTTCTTGGTAAGCACGGGGCCTCTGGGAGGGTTGGGATCAGCTTTGACCCTCTCTCATTTTGTAAGAAGGGAGTCGAATGTCCTGGAATCCCTGGGCATTCCAGCAGTGTGGTACAGTATAGTAGAAAGGCTTGCTCAGCTGGCAGAAAGGATAAGCCATACTACACAGAAACTAGAGCCAAGGGCTCTCAACTCCTAGCCCAGTTTGAGAGGTTAGGTAAAAATGATGGTGATGATGGAGAGTTGCTGTCCATGCTGTGGGGCAGTGGTATGCAGTGCATTGCTCGAGGGCAGCTATGAGGTCTGAGGTAAGGCCCTTGGGTAGCCTAGGAGACTTTTGGATGTGGTCAGGCTTAGAGTGGGTTTAGAAAAAAGTGACTTCTGGAAGGGGCACACAGCTCTACATTGTGATACATGGGTGACTTCAGCTGTCTATCCTTACATGCACACACCGGCATCAGACACGATTGCATTCATACTTATACACAAAATATAAACAGTCTTGTTGACAAACATTATGCATACACACACACACACACACACACACACAGCCAGATGGTTACAAACACAGATACAAATCAGTGATATTCAGCTACCCTCAGCAATACAATCACAGTGCTAAGCAAACAGATACACACAAAAAGTACATTCAGGCCGAGTGGTGGTGGCACACCACTTTAATTCCAATACATGGGAGGCAGAGGTAGGTGGATCTCTGAGTTCAAGGCCTGCCTGGTCTACTGAGAGAGTTCCAGGACAGGCACCAAAACTACACAGAAACTCTGTCTAGAAAAACAAACAAAACAAAACAAAGTACACATTCACACATGAAGACAGAGTTACATGGACACACATGCACCATACATGGTTATACTAGTCAGAGACAATACAGATGTTTTGGGCAGAGGGTATATGTCCATCTATGCAAATATGTAGCTATATTAATGTCTGCGGTTACATATATATAGATGTCCAGGTACTCATTCTTCAAGGTCAAAGACAGATAAACAGAGAGAAAGGCATGGAAAGCTGTAGGTTTGGGTGAGTCTGGATGTGGCTCCTAGCTCTGTACTTAATGGATGCTCTCAGTCAGCTGACTTTAAGGAACCCTAGTTTCCCCATCGATAAGGTAAAATGCATACGACAAAAGTAGCTTCCTTGTGGAATTATTTTGTAGATGAAGTGAAACACCGCATGAAAGCTGGTAGCACAGTGCTTCGCACACATTGAGCACGAAGTAAAAAGATATTACTATAGTTTTCAACACCCCAAGTACAGAGATACAGTTAGTTCGATACATGTGCAAGTAACAGTCAGGAGAAAGGCGATACATAAACATGTGACACTCACGGAGTGGTGGGCTCAGCAGCAGCAGGGGTCCGACCCCCGCTTGTCTGGACGACAGGACAGCCCCTAGTTCTTCTAGTTCCACTGCAGTCCTCCCCGAAAGGCAGGGCACGCTGGGCTGGGAGAACCCGCGACCCGCCTACCCAACCTGGACAGCCAGAGCCCTTTCCCGAACGCTCAGGACGGGGCGGCTCAGCAGGTCTCCCTGGTCCCTTGGAGGGGTGGAGCGGAAGGGCCGCGCGCCAGGCCCCGCCCCTCCTCCGGCCCCGCCCTCGGCGTGACCATTGGCCGCAGCATTAGGGGGCGTGGCCGGACTGGGGCTGGGGGCGCCCGCGGTGGCC